GCACTTGGGGGCTAAGAATATGCATGCATCATACATACTAGGGGGGTACAACTGGGGGATTCAATGGTGGAGAAGGATCTGGGTCTTCTGGTAGATAATTTTCTTGTCTCAGTGACAATTGCTCTCTTTTCTTGTCAATGGTGTGACGGATATAAGAAGTGAGTGAAAATCTCCCGATAAAAGACACAGAGAAAAGTAAAAAAACAGGCAAAAACAAAAACAAATTTTGGCCGGAATTTCAATTTTCACACGTGAATACTCCTATGCTATCTTCTTTTGCTTTTGTCATTGTCAGTTTCAATTTCCCCATTCACAAACATCCACTTTAAAAATAAAGACAATTTTTAAAAATTGCTTGGCATTAGATTTTATTCCAATTAAGATTTTGCTGCTTATAACATTTTATAGTTGTCTTTTATATATGTCAACAGTGCAGATGAAATTTTTCTTTAATTGGATGCAAATAGAAAAGCTTATTGGGTCACAAAAAATACAAAAAAGACAAATGAATTAGATTCCAGTCCAAAAAGTATTCACTTTTTATTTCCACCACATTTTTTTTTTTAAGCTTTTATTTATATGATTCAACAAGATTACCAAAATTAAGAGACAGATACAAATTGCCAGCCATGGAAGGAATATTCTACAATGTGTTATTAAATAGACATACCTGTAGCCTAGATACTTCTTGGTCTATCATGTGTTGGCCATGAAATCTATAGTAATAATAAAGAGAAAAAATTGTTTTAAGTCATCTCTAATACACATGAGAATATCAATCCACTGGATATAACCATCCTGTAGAATCCAAATTTTAATTTGAGCAACATAAACAAATGATAAATGTCCAAGGAAGAGGATACAGAGGAACAAACTGAGACAATTAGGGTCTAGGGTTGGAAATCCCTAGAATTAGGTCTAAAATATAGGTCAAAATGGGAAGGAAATTCTCCTCCGTCACAGTTTTACCTAATTTAATTTGGGTGTGCAGATATTGACTGAATAGTAGATAATATACATGAAAGTTTAAATACATTTAATGAAAATATATTCTGTTATGGAATATTTTCTGACAACAATTATTTTATTTCCAGGAAAATGACAGATCTGAAAATGGACAAACCAATGAATCTGCCTTCAAATGTGGAAGAATGGACAAAGAATCATGTAAAACTCTGGGTCACCCAACAACTTAAACAGGACTCATCTGTTGGAGACATTATTTACAATCAAGAAGTAACAGGGGAGATTCTAAAAGTATTAACAAAAGCAGACTTAGTGGAGATGGGAATCAAGCATGGGCCCGCTACATTTATAGTTCATCATTTTAAAAAACTCAATGAAACTTGCAAAGATGGCCAGCAGAGGGGGGTTAATGAAAAAGGTTCAGAGGCAAAGCAAAAAAATCAAAATCCAAAAAGAAGACACATGTCAAACAAGAAGAAAGAAAAAATAGTATGGAGGACGAGTCACAGAATACATCCAAAGAATTGGGAAATGTCAACACTGTCCCTGCTGAATTTTATCATAGTCCCTCAAAAACAATACCATGCTCTTTTGACTGCACCCCTGTAAATAAATGTTATACACAGCATCATTTTCTGCCACCTGAATCCGGGACATCTAATTACATTGACCCAGTACACGAGTACAAGGAGTTCACCAACACAGAAAATGCTACAACAGAAGATAAGAAAATGAAATTTTGCAATGAAGTCTTTAGGTTTGCTGCTGCATGCATGAATGCCCGCACCAATGGTACTATCCATTTTGGAGTTCGGGATAAGCCACATGGAGAAATTATTGGTGTTCACATTGAGAACAGTGAACTATACGTCAATTACATAGATCAAATGATGAACAAATATTTTGAGGAAAAGCAATTGGGTTTGGCAAAACAATGCATTCGCCCACCCCGTTTTGTCTGCGTACTGTGTCAGGACAACACAAAGTCTGATTTGTTTGTTATAGAAGTAGATGTAGTTCCTGCATATGCGTACTGTCACTCACAAATATTCTACACGTATGAACAGGTTTGTAAAGACAATACCTGGAAAAAGAGTAAGGAAAAATGTTGTTTTCTAAGAGATGGAGCAAGCTCCAAAGATATGCTGGCAAATGTACAACACAATGTAGCTGAACTAAAGTCATTTCACACTCAAACAAAAGACAGGGATGATGCCCGAAAAACAGCTGAAGACAACCAAAGAAAAAATCTAAAGAAGAGCAAAGAACATGGTTTCAAGCTTGTGAGTTTACTAACAGGAAACAGAGATACATTGGACAACTCTTACTATAAATGGTATATTCTGGTTGTGAACAAATGCCAAGAAAGCTATACAAAGAACTTAGACTTCATACATGAAGTGCCTTGGTTTACAGTTTTGGATTTCGATCCAGAGTCGATTACCAGTGGTTTATGTAAAGCTTTCCAAGAAAAACGGAAACCTAGTTTGCATGATCCAAGCCAATATATAAAAATATGGACAATGTCACAAATGAAAAGCTGGAAGAACTTAAACTGTATCAGAAGACCGCTTGGATCTTCTGTAATGGGAGAATGGACTTTGAGGAGAGTCAAGACTACAAACCCTTAAGTTATAAGTTATGGCAAAAAGAAAAAAGCAGCAGATGTGAGACAATTGGTTTCCTTTCTTATCAGGAAAGATGTATTGGAAAGAGGAAAATTCCTTGTTGTATTTCTTTTGCTTTCAACTGTTGAAGACCCAGTTGACCCCATAAATGAAGTCTTCAGTGCCTTTTACCAGGGGCTTAATGGTATGACAGACATCCTGTGCATTTGCGAAAGTGAAGAATCCTTCCAAAGCTGGAGAGGTTTGCAAACTAGGCTAGTAAATGAGGAGGAAATGGAAGAAAGATGTATCTACAGCTTGGACATTGAAAATGTAAATGGCACCATTTTAAAGCTAAAGTCTGATACACCCGATCATCAAGCAGATTTTTGCCATCACATAATGGATCTTCAACCATACTTCACAGAAAAGATGAAGATTTGATGACTTCTTTAAATATTCTTTGCGTCAATGAGTGTCATGACACAGAGATGGAAAGTAATGAGCCCAAATTTAGAGATTTTATAAAGGCTCAGGAAGAACATTTTTACAAAGGAGGCAAAGCCACATGGTGGAACTTCTACTTTTCACTGAAAAAGTACACAGGACCATTCATTGAGAGAGGTAGCCATAAAAAGCTGAAGGAACACATTGAATGGTGGTCTAAATGTGACAAGGCAAATAAGTGTAAAAATTATTACACTGTTTCACCACCCTGGCTGTGGAGGTACCACTACTGCAATGCATGTCCTCTGGGAACTGCGGGAGACATTTCGATGTGCAACATTAAAGCGAAAAACAGATAGCTTTAAAGACATTGCAGGGGAAGTTATTAATCTAGCTGTCTCTGGCTCACCCAATCGCACAGATTATTACCCCGTGTTGCTTCTTGTGGATGATTATGAAGAGGAAGAAAATGTTTTTATTTTACAGAACTGTATCCAGTCTGTAATTGCAGAACGGTATATGAAATTTGAGAAGCCAGTTGTCATCATCTTGAATTGCATGAGATCTCAGAATCCAGAGCAAAGCTCAAAATCGAATTGTACATGTAGTGTTCCCCTAACGTATAAGCTTTCTGAGCAGGAGCGAAGAGCCTTCGAAAAAAAGTTAACAGAGATTGAGGAGAAGTATGAGAAGCCACATGATTTTTATTCCTTCATGATAATGAAAAGCAATTTTGACAAGAGCTATATTGAAAATGTGGTACGAAATATACTAAAAAGATTAAACAATGCAAGCAAGCAGGCCCAACTCATTTCCATTCTAGCCCTTTTTAAACACATATGTAAAGGATTCTACAATTTCTGCATCAATGTGCGAAGAATTCCTTGGCATAACAGCAAAGAAAACATATTGGGGTTACGAAAGTATAGAAGACACAATGGGGGCTTATTTTTACCATAATGCTCCGCACAGAAGTGGAAGAATATGGAAGATACGAAGGTCTACGGATAAGTCATCCACTGATTGCAAAACAATGTCTAGAGGAATTAATGAACACATACCAGATTCAACAAAGTAGCATAATGCGTAGCCTGCTGGACTCCAATATTTTCCATAGCAATGGAATTGGCAGAGAGATTCTGTGTCAAAATATGCAAAGCATGCTGGTAACGCGGCATCGAAAGGAACATGGCGATGAAACAGACACTTTGTTCTCTCCATTAATTGAAGAAATACAAAAACATGAAGGTAATTCGTGTGTTGAAACAGTTCTGACAGAAGGGGGCATTGAGATTCGACCAAAATCCTTATATCTCTCAAGCATTAGCAAGGCACTTCTATATTCGAGAGAAAAAATTTTTAGATGCCTTTCAATGGGCAAAGAAGGCAAAGGAAATTGCACCAACAAATTCCTTTATTTTAGATACTCTTGGTCAGATATACAAGACCCAACTGAAATCAATGATAGACGCATTAAGCAATGATAACCCTATATCTGGCACAGTACTAAAAAACATTCTAGAAACAGCTGAAAATGCATCGATTGCCTTCAGGGAGTGCCAGGAACAAACAGAAAAAAAAGAAAGAGAAAGAGAAGAATATGAACCGACAAAGACTAGACGCTACCGGGTGTACAATACAGCGGGGTACCTTGGCCAAATTGAAGTATGCCTTTCTACAGTAAATATACTTCTACAGTTGCCATGGTTCAATTCAAAAGATTTTTTGTCTAGAAAACACCTAATGCAATATTTGTCTGGTAAATGGGACATTTCCGTCGACAATGTCTGTGAAGATTACACAGAGTTTCATAGCATTCTTAGCGATTCTAGATCTTTTTTGATTAAGCTGAACACTTATCTAAAAGAAGCTTTTGATTTCTTTCAAGACTATTTTGTGTATCTAAAACAGCGAAACACCCTAAAGGAAAGTACAGAGTTTAAAACAAGACACAAAGTTTCAGAATGCTATACAAAATACAGAGAGAATTTCTGTAACACTGATCTAATGCAGATTACAGATGAAAAGGACACACAACGAGGAGGCGCTTTAAGACGTATTGAGGATTACAGGATTGGCCTTCAGTCCTTAAAGGCAGACATGTTTTCAGGTATTCTGGAAAATCTCACAGATCCTGAGAAGAAAGATAAAAACATGGAAGCCATTGTCAAAGCCTACAAATATTTACTCCAGAACCGCACAGACAAATTCATTATGAGAGACAAGCAAAATTTTATTTTGGCAAATATTGTGCTTCATTGTATCTCTCCAAAATCGACACTGGTTGCACCCTTTGAAACACTGAAAAGGTATCTCAGAGAGCTTTTGCAGCTTTCTAGCCTGGATTACAAGTATCCAGAACCTTACTTCTTGGCTTCACTACTGTTCTGGCCCAACAACATTCACCAGTTGGATTCTGACTCTAAACACATTGCCGAGTATGTCATCTCCATGAGAAAAACTTTCAGAGGTCGGTATCGGCACATGTGCCATGCCAAACAGCCCATAGCTCATTTCTATCTCGGAAAACACGCTGGCTTAGAAAGACTAATTCACAAAGGCAAACTTGATCAGCATTTTCCTGTTCCAACATCCGATCTAAATTCTCTGTGGCAGAGTGGAGACATCTGGAAGGAAAAAACAACAAAAGAATTGTTACTTCTTGTAAATGGAAGAGCAGAAGATAACATGATCTATGTGGAGTGTAAAGGTGGGATAAAGATTCCAGTGAGACCAGTTTATCTTGGACAGCTGAGAAGCGGGAAAAGCATTGAGCGGGTGTCCTTTTACCTTGGATTCTCTATGGATGGCTTAATTGCTTATAACATAGAAACCTTATAAACAGCATGTAATCTACTTCCATTAATATCCACAGTCAAATATTGCAGCAAGTTGAGAATAGAATCTAAACTTTGCATTTTATTTTTGTGATCATTTTTAAATTGTGAACTCCTTTGTTATTAAAATGAAATGTTTTATTTCTGACAGAAGTAAGACTTTTGGTCCGTGTGTTCAACAAAGTTTATCCTTTTTATGTCACTTGGACATTTTAACTAAGCTACATGATCAGCAACTGGCAGAAGTTGGCCTGTGGTCCTCCAATGGTCCATAAAGCTGTGGTTGAGAAATATGGCTTGTGTTATAGAGCAGAGAATGTCCTCTTTGTCTACCAATAAACGTAAACAATGTACTCTTTGTTATCTAAAATGTGCTTTACTCTATAAGACTTTTTTACTTCATAGCTGCAATAAACACATTATACAAACAAGTGCAATAAAAGAAAAGTAACACACTCAAAGCTGAACTCCAGACAGATTTAAATATTACGCATGAATGCAACTCGGTATTCATTATCTGTACAACAATGCTCAATTTGGAAGATGGAGAAGCAGCACAAGGAGCCAGTTAATTGTACCACAGTTTTAATTACCTGTACAACAGTGCACAATTTGGAGGATGGAGAAGCAGCACAAGGAACCAATCAATTGCGTTGCAATACAAAGAGCATGTTGATAGAAAGGGAGAGTATCGTGATGGAGAGGTGAACTCATCGGTCTGCTGCTTCTTCTTTCACTGTCCAGTCACAAGCTGGGAGAGGGACAAGACCTGTCCCTTAGCTGCCCTTAGGGCAGTGTTTTGTGGCAGAGCTGTGTAAATCACACAACTGGATATTAACCACATGCCGCCCAGCCACTGTAGAAATACGGCGGCAGGGCGGCACGGCTGGGCAAAACCACATTTTAAAACGTGTGTTTTTAAAACAGGTAGGGGGCGCGTGTGAGGCGTGCCACCGCCCTACCTGTCCCACTGATCACAGCCGCGGATGTCAGTCGCTGGGTCACAGCCGGTCGTTACCGGCTATGTCCCAGTGATCGGCGGCAATCGCTGACAGAGAGCACAGCTGCAGTAGCTGTGCTTTCTGTCAGTTCCCTGACAGCTCCAGGACACGCTGATCGGAACAGAAGAGTTTCTCTCTCCCGATCAGCGGTGTTCCCTGCAGTACACACCCCCGCCCCCTAGTAAAACACTCCCCCTCACACAGTTAACCCTTTCCCTGAATAACGTTATAACTTTCACGTAAACCAATTAATTTACACGTATTGGGTTTTTTTTTTTTGCAAAGACATGTCGCAGAATGCATTTTGGCATCAATTTATGACTAAATTTGATTCTTAAATTTTTTTTTACTGGACATGTTTGATAGCAAAAAGTCCAAAATATTGTTTTTTTTTCCTCAAAATTGTCAGCCTTTTTTTTTTTATAGCACAAAAAATAAAAACCGCATAGGCGATCAAATAACACCGAAAGAAAGCCCAATTTGTGGGAAAAAAAAGGATGTAAATTTAATTTATGTACCGTTTTGCATGACCGCGCAATTGTCCGTTAAACTAGTGCAGCGCTGTATAGCAAAAAAATGGCGTAAATTGCAGTATCTATACCATAGTTTGTAGACGCTATAATTTTCACACAAAGCAATCAATATACACTTAATGGGATTTTTTTTACCAAAAACATGTAGCAGAATACATTTTTGCCTAAATTTATAACTAACTTTGAGTTTACTATATATTTTTTATAGCTGAAAGTAAAAAATATCATTTTTCTTCAAAATTTTTCTATAGTTTTCTATTCCTCAAATATTTCCCTTTAGCAGATAACTTGGTGGCCTCAGAAAGAGAAGAACTACCGAAGATTTTTCCCTTTCTGAGTTAACCTCATTGTTTGCTAAGTGTAACTATTGGAGGTATAGGCCATTGAGGTCAAAGAGATATGGGACTAATAGCCTCTAGCCATAGTGGGCCAAGCACTGACACTGTGAACCTGGAAGCACTCTGAACTCTGGGTTCTCTGCACATAGCAAGGACTGGGGATTGGATTTTCTTGAATCCTCCTCCACTTGTCATTCCAATGCAGTTTTTGCCAATTCCTTTCTCCCGGGAGCAGCAGGCAAGCCAAGAGACTGTGTCAGGAGTTGCACATGTCAGCACCCTGTAGAAGTGATGGAACGGATTTATAGCCGTCCTATCATTGCTAAATTACAGTAGAGAGCCAGCTGTACAAGTGATCTTGTTTCAACCCACTGAGTGTCATAACATATAAGACAAGTGCTTGGCAGTCAAAGGTTTAAAGTATATCTAAAGCCAATTTGTTTTTCTCATTTTGGATAGAGTAAGGTATGGTAACTCCTCTGTGTCACGTACTTGTTATAAACAGCCTGAGATGATGCATAACTGTGCATTACAAACACTGTGCGATATGCTCTGCTGACCCCTACACTCTACAGTTTCAAGAAAAAGTATGTGAACCCCTTGGGATTACGTGGAGTTTTGCATGAATTGGACATAAAATGTGCTCTGAACGTCATCTAAGTCACAACAATAGAATAACACAGTCTGCTGAACATAATACTACACAAACATTAGATGTTGCCATAGTTTAATTGCACATAACATGTAAACATTCACAGTGCAGGGAGGAAAAAGTATGTGAGGCCCTAGCTTAATGACTTCTCCCAGAGCTAATTGGAGCCAGGAGTGAGCCAACCTTGACTCCAATCAGTGTGATGATATTGGATGTGTTGCTGACAGCTGTCCTGCCCTTAAAAAACACACACCTGTTTTGGGTTTACTGGTTTCAAGAAGCACTGTCTGATGTGAACCATGCCTTGCAGAAAAGAGCTCTCAGAAGACCTACGATCAAGAATTGTTGACTTGCATGAAGCTGGAAAGAGTTACAAAAGTATCTCCAAAAGCCTTGATGTTCATGTGTCCATGGTAAGACAGACTGTCTACAAATGGAGAAAGTTTAGCACTGTTGTTACTCTCCCTAGGCGTGGTCGTCCTGTAAAAATGACTGCAAGAGCACAGCGCAGAATGCTGCATGAGGTAAAGAAGAATCCCAGAGTGTCAGCTAAAGACCTACAGAAATCTCTGGCACATGCTAACATTTTTGTTGACACATCTACAATAAGGAAAACATTAAACAAGAATGGAGTACATGGGAGGACACCACAGAGGAAGCCATTGCTGTCCAAAAAGAATATTGCAGCACGTTTGAAGTTTGCAAAAAAGCACCTGGATGTTCCACAGCACTACTGGCAAAATATACTGTGGACAGATGAAACCAAGATTGAGTTGTTTGGGAAGAACACACAACACTATGTGTGGAGAAAAAAAGGCCCAGCACACCAACATCAAAACCTCATCCCCACTGTAAAACATGGCGGAGGGAGCATCATGGTTTGGGGCTGCTTTGCTGCCTCAGGGCCTGGATGGATTGTTGTCATTAATGGGAAAATGAATTCCAAAGTTTATCAAGACATTTTGCAGGAAAACGTACGACCATCTGTCCGCCAACTGAAGCTCCGCAGAGGATGGGTGATGCAACAGGACAATGACCCAAAGCATACAAGTAATTCAACAAAACAATGGCTGCAACAGCACAGAATACGCCTTCTGGAGTGGCCCAGTCAGAGTCCTGACCTCAACCCGATTGAAATGCTGTGGCATGACCTTAAGAGAGCGATTCACACCAGACATCCCAAGAATATTGCTACACTGAAACAGTTTTGTGAAGAGGAGTGGTCCAAAATTACTCCAGATCGTTGTGCAGGTCTGATCTGCAACTACAGGAAACGTTTGGTTGAAGTTATTGATGCCAAAGGAGGGTCAACCAGTTATTAAGTCCAAAGGTTCACATACTTTTTCCTCCCTGCACTGTGAATGTTTACATGTTATGTGCAATAAAACCATGGCAACATCTAATGTTTGTGTAGTATTATGTTCAGCAGACTGTGTTCTTCTATTGTTGTGACTTAGATGACGTTCAGAGCACATTTTATGCCCAATTCATGCAAAACTCCACGTAATCCCAAGGTACAACGATATGCATACAATAATCCTTTATAAAGGTAATCAGATATTTTTGAATATTTATTTTTACATTTATGCTATAATATTGGAAACATGTAAAATATATAAAGTAGGTGTTATCCCAATGTGGCTGCAAAAGTGGAAATACACTTTTAAAGTGGAACATCAAGAATTGAGCTAATATGTAAAATGTGCTGAATTAGCAGGGGTTAAGTCCAGTGAGGTGCATGTCACCTTGTGGACATATCTCTTTTAATTTACAGTTTACATTTTTTCTGAGTGCCTGGAGCATAACTATCACTATGCTTCTGGAGCTGCAACACTGGACCCTCTGGTTGCAGCTCCTGAGGCTGCAGAGTTGCATGCAGTTGCTGTCCCTGCACCTCCTCTCCTCCTGCCCAATCACAGAGCACTATGTATTAAGTGAACTCATTCATTGAATACATAGCCTTCTGTGAATGGACAGCAGAGGGAAGGTGCTGGCAGAAATGCTATGGGTGAGAAGGCAGCATCTCTCCTGTCAGAGCTCCAGGAGTGTGGTGATAGCTGCACTCCTGGAGTACCACAAAACTGTCAGTTGTACATTAAAGAGATAAGTCCATTAGGTGGCACCTCATTGGAATCAACTCACAGTATGCCATCACATTTTACAAAGTGACTGAATTATTGGAGTTCAGCTTTAAGTTGAAGTTTAGGAACTAAAAAACTCAAAGTTTAGACATTTGAAAGATCCCATGCGGATCAAGTCACATTTATGTTTTTTGCACTTTGTGTCACTCTATATATTGTTTTCATATTTTTTATATTATGCATATATTAGTTTAAAATATGTGATTTATTGCTTTTGAGTAGCGCTGCATCATTTCTTTCTTATGACACTAATATACACTCACTGGTCACTTTATTAGGTCCACCTTGCTAGTACCGGGTTGGACCCCCTTTTGCCTTCAGAACCGCCTTAACTCTTCC